GGGCCCCCTCCTTTTCCAAAGGAATTCAACCGGCGGGGGGGGCGGAGGGGGAAAAAAAAAAAAAGGGGGGGGGGGGGACCCCTTCCCAAACCCGCCCCCCAATGGATTTGGGTAATTTTGCCCAAAGCGGGCTTCCCCCCTGCCCCCCCCCCCCCCCACCTTCACCAATCCCCCCCCCCCCCCCTCTCCCTCCTCAAACCCTCCTTAGGAGGAGCGACGTGTGCAGGCAGTGCAGGCCGCGCGCACCAACTTAGCGAGCTTGAAGGTGCAGGAGAACTCGGCCACAAAAAAGAAGTACGATTCGATGGCGAAGACCGTCCACAAGCTCCCGGCTGATGTCAAGGAGTCGATTGACGCGGCGGCGGCCATCTTTGGGGCAAACCAGGTCGAGCCAAAGAGCAAGGCCCCCAAGAAGCGCAAGTGGTTCAACGGTGCATGGTCTTTCTTCGTGAAGTCCTACCAGCAGTTCTTCGGCTGGCAGTCATCCCCCGCTACGGCCCAATTCATCAATTCCACTCATCTTCTGGTGCCTAGCCCCGTGCAGCGGCGGTCCGGCAGGCTAGGTCGTCGCTGGAGCGCAGCCGCACCGCCTCGTGGCACGGCCTCAGGTCGGGACACACGTCGGTGTCTGCGAGCTTCCTGTGGCTGACACCTCTGTGCTTAGGTACCACCCACCGGCTCCGCGCCGCTTCCGAGAGCCGCAGGCCGGTGAAGCGCTCCACGAGCCGCATCGCCTCGCGAAAGCGCTCTGTCGGCGCCACGACGTCCGCCGCGGAGAGGTAGGCGTCGACGAGGGACCACTCCTCGGTCGAGAGGCGCGGCGGAAAGGCGTGCGTCACCTGGGCGCTCGAACGCTGTGGCGTCAGCAACCCGCCAAGCTGGCTGACACGTGCTTGAAGGTGTGCTGACAGAGAGCCTCTCCGGCGGCGGAACGCGCTGCCAAACGTGCCAGCTGAGCGGTGTGTATTGGTGGTCGCCTCTCGGAAGGGCCGCCTGCTTGGCGAGCGTGTGACGCTCCGCGTCGATGAGGATGTTGGTCTGCAGGTTGTTCGGCACCCACTGCGTGAAATTGTCCCCTGGCCGGCATGGGCCGTCGGCGGTCGCCTGCTCGCGTGTCTTCCCTGTGAAGTGGCACACACGGACCTGCCGCTGCCGCTGCCTGCCGGCGACGTCCCACTTGAAGAAGGAGAAGTACATCTCGGTCGGGTCGCGATACCTGCGCGACAGCTCTCAGGTAGTCACGCGTCCTCACCAGTGCCAGTGCTGCGGGAGGCACGGGCGCACCTCAGGATGAGCACCGCGCGGCACGAGGCCATGTGGCGCGCGAGTCGGATCTGGGGAAGGAGGTCTTCCATGAGAGGGTAGTGCGCCTCGATGCACGCCCAGCGGGCTTGCCCGCTCGCATCACCCACCGTGTCGTTCAGGATCTGCAACCACGTCTTGTGCACAAGCCCACGCCACCCGCCATAGTAGCGGCACTGGGAGGGCATGGACTGGAAGATGTGGCGCAGGGTCGTGCCTCCGTTCTTGTGCACGTGCCGATCAATCAGGAGGTTGCACTGCCCCATGGTTGCGGCTCGAGTGGCAGCACGGGCGTCGCTTCGTGGGTGCGGTTTTAGCAATTTTACCCTTGCCGGCGGGCTTCCCCCTTCCCCTCAGGACCTCGCGCCAAACTCGGCGCTAAGAGGGGTGTGCCTGTTGGATAGGCGTTAGTGCAGAAAAAAAGCTGTTGGCGTAAGTCCTTCTTGTGGATGCATGGAGCATGCTTCACCCTATCTTCCCAACTCCGAACCGAGAGCTACTTCGTCCCACCGCGCCGAGAGCGCAGAACCAAAAACACGCGTGACGCCTCGCGGCTTTTCGTGCGCCTTCTCGGGCGGGGCTGGGGCCGCCGCCCACGGCGGGCCTGCGCTCGATCGACCCGCACCGCCCTGGGCTGAGAGCCCCACCGGCAGTGCGCCAAGGTGCCGAGGACGACTCACTTGCCGCCGTACAGCGCGTTGACCTTCGCGACGAGCTTGTCGACGATGGATGGGTCCGCGAGGGTCGAGGTGTCGCCGAGTTGGTCCGCCTTGGCGCAGCGGAGATTGTGGGAGATTGTGGGAGATATGGGGAGATTGTGTTGGTCCGCCTTGGCGCAGCGGAGAGGTCAGCTGTGCGCGCGCGCGTGTGCGTGTGCGTGTGTGTGTGTGTGTGTGTGTGTGCGTCCTTCTGTCCGCTGCGTCGAGGGGTGGGGGCGTCTGCGCCTCGCGGCAGGCGATCTTGCGCAGCACGCGCCGCATGATCTTGCCGGAGCGGGTCTTCGGCAGGCCGGGCGTGCACACGATGAAGTCGGGCGAGGCGATGCCGCCGATCGAGGCGCGGATGGCCTGCGTGAGCGACGGGGAGATTGTGGGAGATTGTGGGAGATTGTGGGAGAGATGGGGAGAGATGGGGAGAGATGGGGAGACCGAGGCACGGATGGCCTGCTTGAGCGACGGGGAGATTGTGGGAGATTGTGGGAGATTGTGGGAGAGATGGGGAGATCGAGGCGCGGATGGCCTGCTTGAGCGACGGCAGCAGCTCGGCGTTCTCGGCGACGCCCTCCTTGAGGATCACGTACGCGAAGATACCCTGGCCCTTGACGTCGTGCGGCACACCAACCACCGCCGCCTCGACGCACGCCGGGTGGCCGACCAGCGCCGACTCGATCTCGGCGGTGCCGAGCCGGTGCCCCGACACGTTGAGCACATCGTCGACGCGGCCGGTGATCCAGATGTACCCGTCCTCGTCCCGCCGGCAGCCGTCGCCCGTGAAGTACTTGCCAGGGTACGGCTGGAGGTACGTGGCCATGTAGCGGTCGTGGTCGCCCCAGATCGAGCGGGCGATGCCGGGCCAACCTCCGAGGTACACGGAATCGAGTAGCTTGATTGCAGTGTCGTCAGCACAGATGCCGAGCATGATCCTGCCATGCCTGGTCTTAGTGGTGGCCTGCAGTGCGCAAACGGCCTCTTCCAATGGAGCTGGGGACAGCTCGACCGTCCAGGTATGGCGGCGTTTGCCCGTCTCGGTCTGCCAGAATGTGTCCATGACGACGGTACGGCGGCAGCCGTCCTCCTAGTAGTACCAGCGCCAAGAGTAGCCACTTCCTAGCCACTTACTAAGCACTTCCTAGACACCTCCTCGTAGCACCAGCGCCGCGCCTCGGGGT